CCCCCCCCCCCCCCCACTTCGAAAAAAAAAACCCACCTACAAACCTAAAAAATAAAGAGGGGTGAAGAAAAAATAAAGAAATGAACTTTTGTATATGGCACTGTATATCTGTGGTAGCTATTGGTCTCCATTGGAAATTAGAATTTGCGAACCCAACAAATGTGGGAATAGCTTGCAATCCAATGGTATGATTATCAAATTATGAGACCCGCATAACTTCAATACCGTTCATTACATCAGGTGTAAATCGGTCTTTTAACATAACGAGGTTGTGGATTCAGACTCTGAGGACTTTATATAAATAATTTTAAAATATAAGATTTGTACTCGGCCGTTCCATTCTTCTTAGTAAAGTAGATCGAATCAGACAATATCCTTTCAAACATGTATGACAAAGACAAACATAAAGCTCCTATTTTTATTTAATTTTTAATGGCAGGGTGAGATGAATTACAATTTTTGTTTTTTATATAATAAAGTAGCTTACAATTCAAATTTTAAAAAATAAACAAAATGACTTTTACTTTTTGCAGTTCAAATAATTTTAAATTTTACTTTAAAATTAATCTAACAACTAATATTAACACCCTAAATTTAATATGAAGAATAGGGCCCTAAAGGTGTGTTTAGAGTGATTTTTTTAAAAAAATTTTAAGAATTATTTCTCATAAGTATTTTAAAAAAATATATTTTTGGAACCGCCCCATCATTACCTGTGAAACCCGGAAAAATTTTAACTTTTTCTGAAAAAAAAACGACAAAATGGTAATTTGCCATTATAGTGTGGGTTAAAAAAAAAAAAAAACTGGTATTTTTATAGACCTCGGATGATGAAACGGACCTCACCGTTGGATTCGTCTCACGAAATCTAGTTACCCAGACAAATTTCGTCGAATTCTGAGATAGTCAGATTTTTCACGTTTTTCGAGGTGACGGGTGTTCGATGACCCCAAAAAAACGAAATTTTTATAAAAATTTGAAAATTTGAAAAATATTTTAAATAAAGTTCATATAAAATATTTTGAGTTTAAATCGGTACGAAATTTAATCGTTTCGGGATGAAAACGGACCAAGACAAAGGACGACACTTGGCGCGACGAGGGTCAAGTGTTTAGAAGGTATAAAAGTGAGCAAATATCTGAATTTCAGACATTTGCTCTTCATTTGCTGCCGGCTGGATCAAACCAAAGAGCAAAGGAGAAAAAATAAAATTCTTCAAACTTTCTTTCGCCGATTCTTGGAGTTCCGTCGGTCGAAATTCGTCGGGCCAAGAATTAAAGTCGATCTACGCGACGAGAGCTACGCGTGGGTACCAAAAACAAAGATTTTCACCGAAGATTCAAAGAGAGGATTTTGGAGAAATCTATATTTTGGGCTTCAATCTTGTTCTTGAGGCTTCCTACAAATTCTTTACGCTTCAAGAGGTAGGGTTCCTCCTACTCGGACCTATTTCTAACCTAAGGTGTCCATAGGGTTCATGTGGGCTGTTTTGGGTATTTCTAATATTTTTCCATTATGATTGGTGCTATGGAAATGGGTAGGATCAATTTTAGTGTGAATTGGTAGTTAGAAAGTGCTAGTTTGTGATTTCTTGAATGTTTAGATAATTGGTTATATAAAAATCATATATTCTGATTTTTATTTTGTTTGAATGATCCATATAAAATCTTGGCTTGATTTTGGTATATGGAAGTATTTATGTAATCCCTTGAAAATTGGGATCATGTGGGCATGCTTTGTGTTTTATATTATGCCTTGTGAATGAAATGTAATATTAGCATGTATTATGTGTTATCATGTTGATGGAG